CATAAGAAATTGGCAATCTTCTCTCACAAAAACTCTTTCCAAGCTGACTTGGACTGTGGAAGTCAGGCTGAATACCTTCCTTCTTGCAGATCACCAGCAAACAGGGTAATCACACAGGGTCATTAGCTACAGGCTCTCTCTTTAGGATAGTTGGCCAGGAGTAACCTTTTAGAGCTTAACAAACAATTCTATTGATGGTACTAAAAAGTATTTGAATTCAGCTGAGCTGCCCAGAAGCTGAGTGGCTTGGAAGCCCTAGGAGGTGGCTAAAAAGCGGCAAAACAAAAAGCTGATTCCCATATGTATCTAACAGTTCGACAAACTATACAAATTCACACAGAGTTTACCTACTTAAAGACTATTCAGTTTACAAAGCTGGGTTTCCAAAAATTTAACCACACCAAGGTAAAATGGGGGCAACCCGCTGGCTTTTCAGGATTTTGTTTTGGGTTGTTACCAGACTTTTTAATACAGGCACTTTAATATTTCATGATAGCACTTCTGCCCTAGTCACGGGAAGCATCAGCATGTGCTAGCTTAGTCCATACAAGTAGTAAACAATAGAAAATAAAATGAAATAGTACCTTTTTAGTCCATCGTTTTACTCCATTATATCCTTTGGTTACCAGCTGCCTATGAAAAAAGCTGTTAAAGAAATGAACCTAGAAAGGCAAATTAAAAACAGAAGTGAGCTCAGAAGTGTTCATAAATGTATGCGCAGTCGCTCACAAGAACTTGTACAAAACTAAACATTTAAACTGGCTATTTAAAACAGCAGTGAAATTAAATTTAAACTAGCTACCAAAAGGGACAAGCAACTTGATGGGTGTTGCAGTACGCCTTGGATATCAGTGTTCTTTAGAAGGAAGATAAAGCGCCTTTATTCCCCTAAAAGCATCCGACGTAGTGTTTACACTTCAAGCCTTGCTATCGCCAGACCTCTTGCGTGTCACTCCAAGGTTTTGTTCGGGAACAGAGGAGCCGAGAAGAGTTATTGCTATTGTTCTTTTCCCCCCCAATCCCAGGGATTAAAAATCCCCATTCTCTCATTGTCCCCACATAATAAATTTGCCAGAAACTGTTTTCTGCTCCATGACTCAAAATAAATGCATAAATAGAAGGTGACCATCAAAAAAAGTCATGAAGTTTAACACAAATGTGGTCATTGGCATTCAACCCCACGGCCAGTTCCAGACAAAACACAGGCATTCGATCGTTTCTGAGTTGTACCGCATCCGCTCTGCGAGCAACTAGAACTGTTTGTGTGGACAAAGACGGCAGACTTCTATATTAGAAACCCCCCCACAAAAACTCTATGTTAACCCTTCTATTACCCTGTACCATTATCATTTGCAATTAAAGGGATCACTCTGCACTGGCACTCACCAATCAGTCACATCTCACGTATTTTAACACATCTGGTTTTGATACATTTTGCTGGTAGTGCAAGTGTAGAAAGCTCCATTGCTTGAACAAAAAAGTCAGACTTCAGCATTTGAAAATGCAGAACAGCCACTGGCTATTCCAACAGAAACTTCAAAACTGCATTCTACTAGGGACTAGCACAAGATCTCCCACGAGGATTTAAATTATGTGCTATTAAAAAAGAAAGAGCGGGTGGGGGTAGACAGATGCAATCTCCAGTACCACAACCCTGGTGCATGCTTAGAAAGCACAGGGAATACTAATGAAGAATTACCATCACCACTTTAAAAAGAGAGAGAGAAAAAAGGCAGTGCTGTTCATTCTGAGCATGGACATTGGAGGGTTACAGCTGGAAGAGCCGATCTAAAAATGGCTTTCTGCGGTTCTTCCTTTGTGGTCTCAATGATTCCAGATGAGATTTGTCCAACTTGCTAGTAAACAGGTGGCAGTTTAAAAAGCACGTTGCTACAAAGCCATTCCTGGGACCTAAAACTCAAGATGGGTTTGTCTGCCCCAAGCCTCCCTGTTGTGAGCTAAAAACACCGCGTCCAGAAAGCAGCTCACAATTGTGTTGATGCATGAAGCAGAAGAGAACACATCTCATTTCCACGCACGGGTTGGGCTCAGAGTCTCACTGGACTAGAAGCACCAAAGGTTTGTATCAGCACAGCAAACCAAGACGTCAAATGGACAGTAAATACAAAAGGGCCATTTCCCCATGGTCACTGAGTCACAAGGAGGAATTTTAATCCAAGCTAAACCTTCTTTAAAGAAGCCAACTATCTCAGCTTGAGAAATGTTGCAATAGCATCCTAAGGACAAAAAGTGGTATCCCCTCCCCTCCCCACTAAATATCTGTCCCACAGAAATGTCTCCCAGCTCACCACAGCCCCAGACAGCACTGTCGATTGCCAGAGTAGATGTGGCCTCGCTATCTCCTTCCTCATCTAGAAGTGTAGCTACCTAAACGAGGCGCTGTACATGCACCGGTAAGCCCTGATGCAACTCCACAGCTGGATGCAACATAACTACGTCAGCATAAGGCTGTGCTGGATCACACTGGGAGCATCTCATCCTGATTCAGGCCGCCATAAACTTTGCAGCTTTAACCTGCCTTCCATAGGTCTGAAATGCCTATGGCCTTACACCACCTTTTCCTGTTGAGCCCATAACAGTTACCTTTTCAGGAGGGGGGTTGGGGGAGGTGGGAAAGGCTCACCTTGTCTGGGACTGCATCCATTATGAGCTCGCCATACATGTTAATAATCTGCAAGAGTTAGTAAAGATTTTAGTTTGCTTGAAATAACTTTTCCATACAGTTATATCATTGAGAAAACCCAGGCTTTGTGAGTACGTGTAAAAAGCACACTTGGAATTCAAGTCAAGAAGTTGACTAATTGGAGTGGACTGATGCTCCGGTATTCTCAAGGGCAAGCGCTGGAACTAATGGGCTGCCAGAAAAGACACCATTTAACTGGCTGAAAGACTTCCTCAATCTAAAATATAGTTTTAATTCAAGTCTACTAGTGTATGTCTGAGCCTTTCAAGTCGCTCTAGTGTTTTGGCAATGGGCCACACATTGCTGTTACATCCTGCTTTTCTTGTATTACAGTCTGCTTTTCTAGCATTGGAACTGAAGGGGAGGAAATACATGTACATTTTTAAATATCTGCAACAACTGCTGTCTCAGAAAGGAAGTGCAGTCTTGTTGCATGTGCACAAGTCTGCAGTCAGAGACTTGAGAGCTATTTCTGGGTCTGCCACTGCCAAGTCACCTGACCCTGCTTCTCCTCCATCAGACGAACTTTTCTTACCAAGGTGGTGGGTGGGTTGTGAGGGTTACTGGTATTTTTAGAAACCACAAAGAGGTAAAGACCCACATAAATACCAAGCATCTCTAACCTGGTCATTTAGCCAGTTCTGACCATCCAGTGTAGCCAAATCATCCATATCTAGCATGTGCTTATTATAGAAGACCCGGAAATTGCAAGTGGAAGATTTTGGATGCTTTGCCCGATAGTTCATGATTTCCTTGGTGATAAAAGGCTTTCTAAAACAAAATGAAGATTGCAGAAACAGACATGACAGGTTATTCCGATTCAAATGGAATTGTATTCCAACAAGAGGCAGTTTCTATGTGGCACAGGGATCAGTGATTCAAGTCATCTTTTTTTTTCCCTAGAAGTCATATAGAATATTAAAAAGCTACAAACCTATGGGAAAAATCTTCGTTAAAGGCTTCCTTTAATTTTCCCATGACATCTTTTTCACAGAGTGGAACTAAACTGCCATATTTCTTCATAACTTCATCCAGGAATCCTTTGTATAAAAGCAGATAAAATGTAAAGGCAAACATGAAAAAAAAATAGTTCACTGGTCTCTGAAAACTAGTCACCTGAGCTTTTATCAGTACTTAATAAACCAGTCACCTCCCCAGCCATTGGTAAGGGTGCGCACAGTTGATTTTATACTAAAGAGCATGGCCCTGAAAGCAGAACTCCATATAACAAGCCCAACATCACTTGAAAGTCGGCTCTATAAAAACATTTTTTTTAAATGCTTTGGGGCCCAATTCTCTTCCCTTTTCACCACTGCAAGTGAGGAAATCAGGCCCTCTGCTCATTTCTATTACCATCTTCATTGTATGGCCAATTCAACATGCTACTGCTTTCTGAGAGAATTAGAGTATTCACTGAGTTTTCTAGCCTTGCCATTGCAAAGACTGCCTCCAATGTGAACGGAGCACAGGGTAGGAGCTGCCAGCAGCCAAGTCCACGCAGGAGCCCCCATGACTCCTCACTTCTGCAGCACTGCTGACCACCACGCACTCTTTGCCAGTTCCTACCAATGAATTCAATACATTCCACGCTGCAGTTAAGGCAACCAACTGAGGATGGGAGGCATTTCCCCCTGCTCTGCTTGGTACTGCTCTGAACTGCAGGGACAAGAGCAACTGGAGATATTCACTGGGAAGAAAGAAAAGACTGAAGCTGGAGGGCCAGGGAGAGGAAGCAAAAATAAAAGAGCAACAAACCGATTTCTCTTAGTGGTCAGAAAACACATGGTAAGCACATTGCCCTTCAAGCATCCAAAACCCAGCTCCCTTCTGGTAGTCGAGAGGCTTTCTGAAATGGGGAAAAGACTTTGAAGGGTGTCAGAAACCCACTAGCTAGAAGCTTAACAGATGGAGGAAGCATAGAGCAAGGCCTGAGAGACAGCATCCTCCTTCCAGGGAAATGAAGGAGGGAGCAATTGTTAGCTCTCCCTCCATTGCATAATGCCCTTGTGCCAAAAGCCCTCTATAATTTACACCGGCTTTTAATAACTTCATTTATCCTGACGAATATTCAGGCTCTGAATAACCTTCCAAGCAGTTTACATGAAGTTAGAAATGAATGAGGCCAAGCAAGACAGGAAAGGCAGGAGATAAAGTGCAAAGGATTTAAAAAAACCCCAAAGTATGGAATTCGCAAGACTATGGGGAAAGAAACGGAAGAGGAGAAAGGAGAGGAAGAGATATAAACAACATAAAAGGAGATGGAAAAGGGGATTCAGGATGAAAAGGAAGGAAGGGCACAGACTGAAAAGACACAGCTGGATCCATTACAGGGGAAGGAGTGGAGCAAAGCTGGGATAGGACTGAAACATTTCAAACAAAAGAAAGACGAAATATGAGTTACACTAAAAGTCCATCACGCATTGTGCAGTGACTGCTGGAAGAGTCAGGGACAGCGAGAACAACCTTCAGTCAGAAGATGCTGAAGTAGAGAATGTTAAAGTGCAGATGTTAAGCTGCACTTTACAAATTTCCCCCTGCAAATACTAGGAGGATGTTAAGACACTGGACTGGGCACCCCTAGCTATTACCCCTGGCCAGAGTTGGACCTCAATCCTGTTGGTGTACAATTGAGAGCAACCTGAAGAGGAAAAACACCAAGTTCAAAAGTTCAAAGCTGGTGTGAGATCAGAATCTCCAGGGTGGAATTTACAGTTGAGCCCTAATTAGATACTTAATGTGGCTTTAGAACAAACCAAAATGCTGCAAGCCTGGTAACATCCCAGCTCAGGGTTTTGAATTTCTCTGCAACAGCTGATGACATCCGCAGAACTCTGGATACAGCTGCACTCCCTCACATGTCGAGAGCCGGTCAACACTGGGACCCCATTCTGCTGGGATAGCAATTTCATTTACTGGACTGATTTTTTTTTTAAACAACACTTCTCTGCTGGCTAAAGCTCTTGTGTACACAGTTACAGCAGCACAAGCACCTTTGCAGGGAGGCTATTTAAGCTGGAGGAACTGACAGAAGCTAGATCAGCACCACCCATTTCTTACCAGTCTGATCTGTGACCGTGCTAATGGGGTTTGCTGGTGCAGAAATAGTCACGGGATAGCAGCAAACCTTTTCTAGAGGAGCCCTGCCCTGAGTCACCCTGAAACAGAGCCTTGACTCCAAAGGTGGGCAGTTTTATGGTCACCTACTTTCATTCAGAAAGTTCTTGACTGCTTTCTAAAGTCACACAAGTGTTGTTAATCTGGAAGTTAACGCAATGCCAACTACTTTTACACGCTTAGGCTACTGAAGTTCTTTAGCTGATCCTCCTTTCTGCTATAAAGATATGGAGGTGGGGGCTGTCAAAACAATAAACTTAACTTTTATGTAAGGTGACATTTTTAGTTAGTGTCCCAAGCAGTAGGACCACCATCCCCTTAGAACAAGACAAATTATATTCCACCACCATCATGAAGAGCACAATCTCTTCACAAAGACACCCAATGCATCCCTGTCCCTCATTTTCCGGCCCCGCATCAACCTTTGCAAAAGCCAAAAGGAACCAAACAATAAAGCAACTTGTACAGAGGGATGGTCAAATCTAAGCCATATTTTAACTACAGCCCATCACTCTTCCAAAAGCACAATTTGAAGGATGAACCATAAAAAGTAGCCTGATGTTTTACCAGATGGGGAAACCAGGGGAAGTCTGTCCTGGGCAAATTTATGAGCACTCTTTTAACACTGATGTGTCAAAGGTAACATATAATGCAACCTTTTCCAACAGAAGCCAAGAAACCCTTAGTTATAGTGATTATATTAAGCTCCAAAACAGCACCTTAACATTTCCTCCTGTGTAGCATCTTTAAACTGGCTAGTCCCTATTACGTTAAGAAATGCCCGTTGCCAGGATGCATACACACCAAACACTGGATACAAGACTACTTCCTTTTCCTCCCAAGTTGTGCATTAGAGAGACTCCTTTAGGCAGCACAGGCTCCCCTTTAAAGGTTGGCTGGATTTTTTGTTAACCAAATGAGATGTAGCATGAATAAATGTTTATCTGCAAAATAAAACGGTTTGCAAATAAAACCCCCACCTGGTAAATCATGTTGCTTGTAACCAAAACTAGACTTTTCCCCACTATTGCTTATAAAACTTAGATTTTAGGAAGCGTGAAAATCTGGAAGTGAAATTGAGTGGTTTAGTCTAAAGCAGAATTTAAAAAAAGTGTAGAAATTAAAGGACAGCGAGAGTGAAGAAGAGACCACCAGAAACAAATTTGTGCACTTCATAAGCGCGATTACCAATTAAAAAGGAACTTTAACCTGATAATAGCCTTTTAAAAGCTCAAGATAAAGAGCATTAAAATGCTGACAAATATCTTTTACTGGTGACCTGACTAAAGTTAAGCCGTTCTCCATAACAAATCCTTAAAAATAAAAGGCTCGTGTCAACCAAGCATTAATTCACATGCTTCCAAAGGCACCTGACTAAAGCCTGAACGAGCCTGCCAAGCAAGCACAGTGCTGCCCTAACAGCCTCCCTCTTTCTAGCTCCCCCAACTACGCACTCAGCTAGGCACTTTTTGTACTACATGATGTAAAACCCTTTTAATACAGGAATTCAAGTGATAAAGAAACATCACAGGCTACAGCCAGCTATTCATAAGGAGCCCTAAGACATGCATAAGGGGTATACCACAAAGCCACGCTGCCAATTGCTCATCAGCCACATGAGATGCTTTCTGACTGTTCCTTTTGCTTCCCTTTCGAGTTCCTGATTTTAGTCCTGTGCTTTCTGGCAGAGGCTCCTCAAGAGGGCTTTTACAGTAAGGGTGATCTAATAGCTTTGAACTAAAAATGTCGAGGTTTAGGGAGCTTTCTACTTCCATCTGGCTACAGCTGTCTTCGTTTTGTGCCAGCTCCATAAAGAAAGGTCCATTCTCATTCGTGCTAGAATCCTCTTTGTAGGATTCCAATGATATTGTTCCATCAATGCCCATAATCTGATCAGAGTCTATATCTTCTTGCCCTGAAATTGCAATTTCTTTTTCTGTTACTGAGATGAAAAAATCATCATCATGGCAACCGTCCACTGCAGGTACCTCTTCCGACTCCACCCCCTGCAAGGTCTCTGTATCCACCAGAGGAGCTGCTTCATGCAGCTCTGGCTGGCAGATTTTAACACTGCCATCCTGGTCTCCAGATGCCAGCTCCTCAGAAAATAGCTCGTTGCACTGCAATGCATCCTGTGTAAGGCAGATGTCAGATGTATGCGTTTCATTCTCCTCTGCTACAGATTCGGGTGTATTATTGTTCATATCTGATGAGCTGTACAGGTTCCAGAGAGGGTGACTCTTAGATATCCAACAGGAAAGCCAGCTACACCAAGCCCTTTTAGAGTTCTCTTGGAGAGTCTCCTGACAGTCCCTGGTAACCTTCTCCACCCAGCTAGGCTTGGCTTTACTCGATTTGCAGATCTTTCCTCTTGCTCTGCCTGTCGGGGATTTTACGACTCTATACCAAAGCCTAGGCATAGAAAGTTTCTTATGCATCATAAATAAGGATCTCTTTTGTACAATATACTGGTTAAATTTGGACCTCTTTTGGGTAGTCAAGGGGCCACAAGTTCCATTCTGCTCCAGCCCTTTGCAACAAGGCTTCCTTTTACAGTTGTTCAGAACTACTAGGACCGTGTTGCCTTCATCATAACTGCTGTCCTCCCCAACATGTGCAAGACCATCTTTCTTTACAGGTGAGGCAGCACCGCACAGCTCACCACAACAGGCACTGGGGCCATTGCCCTGGAAGCTGTTAAAACCAGTGTTAGTTTGTAATCCTGTGCTCAAGAGATCTTCACCCTGGAAGGACTCATTGTCCAGCTCCTTCAGTGCCTCTATAGATGGGTTTCTAGTCTTACCATGATAGTAGCACCTTCTTGTCCTCCTGGATGTTTTTGCAGGAAAGGTGCTAGGTTCAGCAGTTGGTTTTTGATGACTTTTTGCATTTAGAAGCACTTCAGGAGCCCACGGACTCTGGAATTTGAGTGTCTTCCTTCTGCACTGGAGATACCTGCACAGTTTGTTCTGCTTTGGCCTCCCAACTGACTGATTACTCAGTCTTTGTTTCTTAGTTAGGAAGAAATGCTGCTTTTGGAAGCAGTATTTCCTGAGCCCCCAAAACCCAGTGGTCCATCTTCTAGAAAGAGCCAGCGAGTGACTTCTTTTCCAATGTAAGTTTCTGCTGTGTTCTTTCATTTTTCTGCTGCATTATGATCTGGAAGGGCAGCTGTAAGAATAAGAAAACAGAGAAGTTGCATTTCAGATAGTCTTGAATTAGTCAGAATCAAAACACAGGAGGCATGTTCCTCAGGCAGCATGCCCAGCTGCACTCGCAGTCACCTCCCAAATGCTATCACTGCACTCCAGCAGATGTAGCAGCAACTCAGATACCTGCGGCGCCACCCAACTCCCCTCCAAGTCAGGCTAGAAAATAGGTGAGTTTCACACCCATTCTCCCCATATCTCAACTGGAGTTGACTCCACAGCTTTCAGTGTGTCACTCTCAATACCCCCAATTTGTGAAGTGTAGATGCTTAACCTCTAGTCTCACAAGTTATGTCAGCCACCAAGCATTCATCATCACCAGATGCTATTAGTACCACACTGAAGCCTTGCTATAGTGTCACAAACCTGGGTGTACTCTATGGAGTCACCTATAGCAGTCATTTTTTAAAAGGATAACAAAACTTGCACTTTGCAATGCAAGAAGCTTCCTTTCTCCAGCAAAAATGAAGTTTCACGATAGCCAAGCTCTACTGTACAATGGTTCCTCTATCCATAGAGCTATTCCTTATGGAGTCAGAGGGCAGCTCACCAGATTGCCATGATGTAAGAGTTAATTAACTCCAGTTAACCAAACACAACAAGCTCAGGACACTAGCCCAAGAAATCCCTATCCCATCTGCAATAACTGCATATCAGACTTAAGAAACATTGCTTTGACTCTTTATGTAAAAGCAAAAAATTGCCCAAGTACCTGGCCCTTAAATTCAGAATTACCAACTTGCCCACACCTACTTCAGCACAGTTAATGGCTTAATTAGTGATTGAAGTACATGGAGATGCTGACACTCCTCCCAGATCCTTCTGAAATGGGGAAGAAATACAAGGAGCATCTCCACTGTTGCAGCCATCAGCAATCATTTTCCTGGCAGATTGGGTTAGCAGAAGAGCTGAATGTTTGACACGGAGAAAGAGCAGGCCAGCAGCATCAGAAAAAGGGGAAGACTGTAAAGGCCTCTCTCAAACACGAACACAAGAAGCTGTTCCTATCAAAGTCCTACACTGCCTCAGAGAAGCTGTGTACTATAAAAGGCTCACAGCTCTGTTAAACTGTGCAAAGGTTTAAAAGAGGACACGGAGGGCAAGCAGAAATTATTTCTCACTCCCTTAGACTTTTTTTTTCCCTCCGCAACCTACTGAGAGATCTGTTTTTCAAGAAGGACTATTATTACAGGATTTTGGTTTCTTCCACAGTCACAAGAGAATCAAGTACAACATAAAAAGGGAACTGTCTGTGAGCATTAAAGAAGAAATGCCTTTTAACTAAGATCAAGCCTGGAAAATGTCAGCCTTAAAGGCAAATCTCAGGAAGTGATCAACATATGGAAACAGGTGTTCAGAACAGGAGTCCCGATGTAACCATGAGTACTGCAAAGCCTATAAAAACAGAGGATCAAAAAAAAATAAATAAATAAAGCAGGTTTTATTTTATAGGAGGGTAGAAACAAACAGAGGACAAACTTAAAAGCTAAATGCTTAAAGCTGCGCACCCTGTGCAAAGAAATGTTAGATGCTCACTGGAGACAGATGTGAATCAGGAAATAAAACACTGCACCTATGGATGGGAAGATGGAAGTAAAAACAGGCACTACCAGCAGCAAGTGATCTCATTGATAAAACAGCTGTTATCCTAAATGGGATGCAGCCGCACCTCCAAGCAGGGGGGCTTTTCTACCCTTGGCTTACCCCACCCCAAAGCAGAGATGCTTGTTATGGTCAGGTTGACACCAACAGCACACGCTGTGCTCCCCTGCTCCTATGTGATGAGGAACTGCCTGATAAAGGTCCTTCCAGTAATTGTACCCAAAAACCCAGAGCAGCTTCCCTGGCTCAGCAGCATCTCACTCGCCGGCCCCCGTTTTATAGCTGCCTCTAACTGTCACAGGCCCTTCCGGAACATCCCCTGGTCCCTGCAGCACCGTGCGGAGGGCGAGGAGCATGGCACGGAGACCCAAGCAGAACAAAGCCGGTGTAACGTCTGTTTATTGCTTTGTCAATGCCCCCTCCATTGGGTTTGTGCGTCACCGCTGTCCGAGAAGACATCAGGAGCGCGCTGCTCGGTGCTCTGTTAAACCTGCCATTTGGCGCACAATGCATCACGCTCCTCCAGCACTGCAGGAAGGATCAACCGGGCCAGTGTTGACCTGAGCACAAACAGCTGGCTATTTAACCCTCAGCAGACCTAGAGAGTGGCAAAGTACCGCCAGCTGCCACTGTCTCATCCTTGACACTGCTATTGTGATAGCAATCATGGGAAAAATTCAGGGGGGAGTCCTGTGGATATCAAGCCCAAAGAGAAGATGCACCTGAACTGGTCTGAGGACAGAACTGCCATTGCAGAACATCACTATCCGGATACAATGACATCAGTAATGTTGCTCTACAATGGTGGGTATGCTTTAAGAACTGCTCCAAAAGTCACTCCCACCCACAAAAA